CAAAAGGAATTCAGGACATCTTAACATGTCAATGATGAAAGTACTTGAGAAACATACAGTACCACATTCTAACATATACTGTATTGTAAATATATATGGTATTGTTTTTTCTTGTGACATTATTATCATTAGGTTTGAAATACATGAAATATGCCATGACATGGCTTAGTTATTAATTATTGTCTATTAAGATGTAGGTTGTTGACGTTTATGTAAATTAACATACCAATATGAATATTTTGAAAAGCAAAAGATTACTTTATCATGGAAAAAAGTCAACTTTATCAGTTTTAAACTGTATGTATTATGTAGTTACAATACGCTTAAGAAACATTGCTAAGGACTTACAAGTATTACAAATATTTATGTAACTCTAAGAATCTTTACATATTTCTACATGCACTAATTACATGGTGTTACTTCCAAGGTGCTACTGGATTTTTAAAAGGCAGACGACTCATACAGGAAATATTATGTGTGTGGTACAGTATGTAATTTTTAAAGTATTGTTTTGTAGCTTACTTGAGGTGCAACAGGCATACTTGCAAATGTATACTGTATATCCGTGCAAAATATATGTACTGTATATTTCTCAAGAAATCCTATTATATAATTTACAGCTTTAGATATTAGAAAAAAACACAAATAATAAAGCAGTACGATTTCTTTTTCAGTTGTATAAATTAAAAAATCCTTTATTTATACAAGTAGAATAAAGAAGCCTTCACTAGAACTATTAATAAATTACTTTGTTTGGCGGAAGGCAACAAAAAGCGATTTAGTTGATAACTGAACATATTATGCAAATATATTTGCTTGCAATAAACCTAGAAACAATATCATAAAGGGATCAAATGGAAAGTTATGTGGATTTCTTCTAAACACTCATAATGAATATTTTATCAAGCCATGGTTATGAAATTGAAACCTCCACAGGCATAATGTAAAATTAACCATTCTGTTGATTTTGTTTAATACAGGCAAATGTACTGTAGTCTGTTATTGCTGGAGTCTTCAAGGTGATCTTACTGTATGTTATCATTTGATGTTTGATTTTTGAAAGTAAAGGAAAGGATATTGTTCAGTAGGTATTGTAGATAATCACGATGGGGATTCAAAGAATGAAAAGAGATGTAAGTTTCCCCTACAGCAGATCACTCTTGCTTTTATTCGGTACATTTTGTTTTGCTATACTGTGTATAAGTTGATTCAGATGAGAAATGAATGTAACTGAGATAATGAGAGCCTTGCATCTCTGGTTGTGTTCTTCAGTAATATTCTTTTGGATCTCTTTTTCCTACCTCTTGTACTAGCGGTGCAGCACTTTGATTTTTGCCTCACATGCTGCCAAAAATGTGACAAAGAGACGACCACTGCGTTGTTCATCTTGGAGCATCACTATTAGAAACAGGAAAGAGGGAGTTCGTGCCAAAGATTAATGAAAAATTTGAAGTTTTGCTAAAGAAATTGAAAGAGATGCAGCTCTGTCTTCCAGCGGCACACTTCTCTGATTGACGATGACATCCCCTGGAAGCGAAATTGTTCAGCCTCCCTCCATTATTATTGATTGCTGCTGTGAAGCTCAGTGGGCTTCCGTCTTGATGACACTAATCACTCTAAAAATCAGCCTTCCGTTATGGTCCTTGACTGGTGTATAAAGAGATCCTTTATTATTTTTATTTGTTGACTATTTTCTTCTATTTTTTATATTTAAAATGTATTTACATAGCTGTCAAATTGGGTAGGTGCATAGATGACTGGTGCCTGTTGAGCTTTACTGTAGTGTTTTAGTGTTTTAACAGCATAGTCAAGTACACCAAAAGCATGGTGAGAGACACATCTGATTATTTTATATTATAAAAATGTTATAGACTTTATGTACACATTTGAAACAAGGCTTTGCTGTTAATAGAGTATCTTTTATGGAGGGCAGCAAGTAGCCATGCTGTCTCCACAGGACAAGCAAAAACATACATAAAGTTAGCCTAGATGAGTATGAACCCAGTTTGATGGCTCATTTTCTATGTTACACTGACTTGTGCCAGGGCAAAGCCAATGTTAGGGATAGCTGTGGAAGTGGTACTGAAACACGATGTGCTTTGAAGGCAATAAGCTGATAATGACTTGTCATTTTGTAATGGCGATACTGATATGTGAACATATATTGGACTTTAGATTCCAGTTCTATGACTAATGACTATGATTAAGCTGCTAATAGGAACCATGTCCTACATTTCGAACGTACACTGTCTTTTAATCTCCTAAGAGGTGAATGCAACATCTGAAAAAGCTCCTAATACAATCAGTGAACTCATACATTATGTAATTTTAACTAATGGGATGTTCTCAGCTAAATCACCACACATATTTCAGTTTTCTTAAACCACTATGTGGTATTAAGCATTGAAAAACTCTCATCCATTTCCATATTTTTATTAGCCTTCTTTCTAAATATTAGTTACTGACGGGTAATGGTTGCCATATGTAATATATAATAGAGTTCATAACTAAATGTTGACAATCCCCCAATTTGTTCCAATTACCAAAACTAGGTTGTAAATACGGACCACTATTTCCTAGTGACAGTTCTCAATAAAGACTATGTAATCGCTTTGTTGGGTTTTAATGTTCTGAACTGTATAACGTTTACATTCTGTTTTTAGATATGGAAAATAAAGTTTCATTGCACTGCATACAGTATGTAATGAATGTCTCATTTCAGGATTACATAAAACGCTTTAGAATGATATTGGCTTTGAAGGTTTGGGTCCATAAATCAACCTTAACGTGAGAAAATCTAGTCTTTTGGTCTGTGTCAGATATCTATTCCAGTTTGAGCATTTTTCCATCTTTTTTAGAGTCAATTAAAAATTCAAAGCTGTATTCTGTGGAACTGACTATGATGTGTGAGTGTAATTTCCCAATATTATACCTTTTATATATAAAGATCCTTGTTGACATTCAATGCATCTCAAAGGAAAAGTTTCCATCTTTTGTTTAGACATTCTTTCATATAGCTAAACTATAGGATCAATCAGTTGTGTATTGTATTGCCTTTTACAGTGGTATGGCTGAAAGTCTACAAGTAACCAATCACTGTGACAGTAACTGCAGTGTATCACCATCATTGTCTTCTAGATGTTCTCTATAAAAGACAATGTAACATTGTGCAACACAATAGCCCTCTACCTATCTAACAGATAGAATAGTCTGAGGACACCTAATTCTGTTTTACATACAATATATTAAGCCAAAGGAAACAGCTACAGACAGCTGTTTCACCCATAGATCACGCTAAGATCTAAGGATTTATAACAAATATGACCTGCAATACTCACAATGCCAGTTGCACACTGAGAGAACAATGTTCCTAATAGATCCATGTCTCCCTTTGTTTAAGCTACTATACATAGTGCTGCTAGATATACAGTAAGTGGACTACGGTATAGGAATAGTATGGTACATGGTCAGATGTGCACAATTCTGTCCGACAGGTGTGTTCTGTGAGATTTAAATCTGAGTGAAGGGTGGAAAAGTCTACTTTTCTAACATTGTTCAATGCCAGAAATACTCAGATAGTTTTTTACTGTGTGTAACTGCAAAAAATAAAAACACTGACTAGCAAATAACTGTACAACTGTAATACTACTGCCATCTGTTTACCTATCATTTTGAAAGACAATTAGTGATACCTGATGGCTGTATCATAATAATGTCCTCCTTCCCAATAGCCAATTTCTACAGCTCACTTTTACATTCTACTTTATTTTCTGTCTATAACCAAAAATACTTTTTTAGGGAAAAACAATTTTCTGCCATTGTCTGTTACAGCACTTACAGTGAAGTGTTGCTCACTGCAGTCATGTCTGTCCATGTTGGGTTAAACTTGCCCCAGGAAAGGGACAGTATTAATAGATTTTGGTCTCTGTTGTGCTCCAATGGCCTGTCAAACTGTAGTATAGACTATAGTGAAAAGGTCACATAAATGAGAGTGGACAATGGTATAATCTTGCCACTGTGATGTCACTTTGACAACCTCTTCTGGGATAGTCTGCAATATTGTTCATGGATGGTGATGATTAATCGATAAACTGTAGAATGTTAAATTTATCAGCAGTGGTTTGATGCCTATTTCTGTTCTTCCCTTTGAGTGCTTCAACACGAGGCATGGTGCAAAATTTTACAAAGTTAAATTTTGTATAGAGTACTTATATACCCTTATTGCTAAATGCTGCATATGCAGAAATATAAAAAGTGCATCTTATACCGGACAAAAAGTTGTGTATATAACAAGTTTATGTGTGACATTAAGCAAATAAAATTAGAAAAGACACAATGTAAAAAGAATGCTTTGCAACATCTTTAATGATTGTTTGTTTAATTTTAATCATTGCTAGTAGATGCAAAACTTTTAACTCAGATTCACGTTCTGGTAACAGTAAACAAAGCTTATATTGGAGCATTCTTGAAGAAAGCCAATGTAATACCAATTTAATGTAAGGTTTTTAGCCCCACAAAGTAAGCTAAAAAGAAAACAAAAACGATGTATTTGTGCAATGTTTACGTGTCTCATGTATCTGCAAGAATTTATAAACAACTTTAGAATGATTATTACATTATTACACTTCACAGCAGATGGCTTTTGTTAAGTGTTCTCTAAATGGCTTACACAGTGCAAGAAGAATAGAGCTTACAGTCTGAGTAAGAGTTAGGTGTGGTAAGTGGTCTGTAAATGAGAATGCAAAACATTGCCTGCAGAAACAGAGTGTAGAGGTGTGGATATTTTGTGAAACCAAAGCAATCTTGAGCGATACTTCTGTATCAGTTTTTAATTCAGATATAAAATACAGAAACCAAACTTAGTTTCCAAAAAGGCCTTAAGACCCAGTTAAAGTTTGCTTTCTCACAATGATAAATGTGTTTTTCAGACAACATTTGAACTCTTACTCCAGCTTTCTGCTGACTGCCTTCTTTCTTTGTCTGTTGTATATTTCCCATAGTTTTCAGGCGAGGTTCCAGAAAACCGAGTGAACATTGTGGTTGCCAATCTAACTGTGATCGACAGGGACCAACCCCACACTGCCAACTGGAATGCTGTGTACCGGATAGTGAGCGGGGATCCTTCTGGCCACTTCACCATCCGGACTGACCCTATAACCAATGATGGCATGGTTACAGTGGTGAAGGTAGGCTATTACATTGGAATACTGGGAGGCAGCAGACTGCTGTGCTTTAATACTTGCAGATTGTCTCTGAGAATGTGTAGCTGCCTTTAAAGAGAAAATGTAACCTAATTAAAAAAGTAGAAACGAAACAAGCACACTGACATGACTTTAGTGTTTAGTGTTCTATAAGAATCGTTAACAACTGTCATTGCAGGAAGGATGCTGCTATAACAAATTATTCCTGTTAGGAAAAACCCTACCTGAACATAATTGAAACAGACCACCCCCTGATCTGGTAGCATGAAGGGGAAATCTGCACATAAATTCTCTGTAGAAGTGTCTAGTCAGGAACCAGAACACAGTCCTCCAAGCTGAATACAGGTCTCCAGAAACTCCATACCCTGTCGGACCAGTTCACCAGATGCCTTCTTCCTTTTTACCAGCAGTTAACATGGCTATGACCAAGGCTGTCACTAAGATTGGAGATTGTGGTTATTAGTTTTAACCTTAATTGGTTTTCTTTCTCTAAAGGCAGTGTTTCTATATCAGACGCTGTGAACTGGTGCAGCTTACTCATTTCCCTCATACAGATGTACAGTATATATAAGAAAAAAAATGTGCAGATAACTTGGAAATACCATTTTTCCTACATTTCATTTCTGTCCTGAAACACAGCCATGCCATCACAACTTAACTAGGGTTAGATTCTGGAATTCCCAATAAATTCTCAGTTTATTTGTTGATATTCATCTTCATTGAACACCAAATGCAGAAATTTGAAAAGTTTATTCCTTTTCTTTCAAACATGTGCTTTTAGCGCAAATTCATAGAACATTCCCTTTTAGGGCAATGCAGTGTATATAAGCATTTAGTAGTGTGAGGAATGTCTCATCTACCACCATCGCCTAGCTAGTAGGGAGAACACCCTGCCTTATCATTTCCGGGGAATTGAAATTTTCAGCTTCGTCTGAACAGGACCAGTCTTGCGTATCTTCATCAGAAGTCTTGCATACAGCTCTAGAGGAGCCGTGAGGACAGCCTGGAATTGATCATGTGATGTAACCCTTATTTAGTAAAGAGTTTGATTTCCACAAGCTTGTCAAGCTTGTTGTGTATTATTTCCTTCCCAGGAGTTCCAGCATTCACGATGCTATTTGAATTGTGGCATAGCAAACTATTTGTTAAGGTTATAATGAGTAGCTGCGTCAGCATGTGGGCTACAGAAGAAACGAGTAAAGGTTAATTCTGTACTGAAAGGAAGAAATGTTCTTTGAAAGGAAAGCAACAGAGACCAGCCTCATCCTCAGTCTATGTTTATGATACATTCATCTCTTTTTAATTCTTTCCTTTCATGTCCGATAAAATTTATCTCCCTCTGACCATCTTTCTACTATATTTCTGTTCTCTCCTCTGTATATCTGAAGAAGCTTTGCTGGCTGAAACGCGCCTGTTTCTCTCTCTCTCTATGACTATTGTCTCTTTAGCATCTCTACTTATAATCTATTTACTGTATATATAGTATGTAAACCTGTATATTTTGCGAGAATACAATATAAAAGTAAGAAAAAAAGCATTACAAATGCAAAAATCCAGTAAATCAACAACAACAACAACAACAACATCATGCCTTGGTTACTGCAAAACTTTAAATCACAGTGAAACCTGCAAGGGAACACTGAGCATTGTTTTTCCTCTTTGAGGAAACCTTGAATTTTATTTTGCACATCTCTTGCTGTGGGCTGCAGTGCGAGCTGTGCGGTGGAATTTCATGTCATTTGAGAGCCACGGTGAGTGCAGTCAAGTGGAAGGACTGTGAGGTTGGTGTCAATGAGAAAATAACTGAATGCAGTGCTGAATTCATAAGGGGAGAAACACTAAGACCATGGCAGCAAATTAAATATTGATTTCTCAATTATAAACATGTTCGCTTTTATGCACCCGTAATATTTTATCTGCTGTAATAAATTCTGCAGCAAAATGATATAGCCTCCTTCAGTTTACTACTGTAGGGAAGAGTCTCTTAATGAGGATCCATCGAAAGGTCTAAACCCCATTTCAAGCCAGTTAGCACAGAGAAAGAGAGCATGGTTGTGTGCATGTTAATGGCAGTCTCACTTTTCTGTCATAAGCCTGCCTATATTTATGAGTCCTTATTCTTCATTTTATATTTTGATCTTCTCCACCCAAGAGCAACTTGGTGAATAGTCTTGATTATTCACCCTTTGATTTCAAGGCACGTGTTACCCCAGTGAAGTGTCATGTACTGTATTAAGTTATATTTGTTATCTCTCGTTGGCACTTCCCCTAATGTATTTTCCTCTAAAATAAGAATTCATAATACTGGAAAAAAATCCTCAGGTGAGTTATGAAAACATTTAAAAATAGAAATTGGCCTCATGGTGGGTGGGGTGGCTGAGGGGGTTTAGAGACAGCTATTGTATGCGAAGGTCCTGTAAAGTGAAAACATGCTGTGAAATGAACCAAGACAAAACAGTGAACGATGTACTAACAGCAGGTACGCGGAAGTAGTTTTTACTGGAACATATGAATGGCCGATGAGTCAGCCCAATCAGGGCTGTTATTAAAATAAAAATCTCTCTAAAAGAAAGCAACAGCAACCATTTGCTGTATTTCGTATGGAGAGTCTTGTGTCAAAAGTACAGCATGCGGTAGATGATTCAGAATATACCCCTTTCATTTCCAGTGGGACCTTATTAAAAGATTTGGTTATATTTATATAACCAAATTATAATATATACACTATATTATAATTATATACACTATAATTATGCAAAATAAGGAACAATATGGTGGCACAGGGGTCAGCATTGCTGCCTCTCCTGGGTGAGATCTGGGGTGGTATCTGCATGTACACCCCATGTTTGTGTGGGATTCCTTTGGATGATCCGGTTTCCTCCCAATGTCCAAAGATATACTGGCAGGTTAATATGCGAAAATTTGCCCTGGTGTGAATCTGTGCACGTCTGTGTATGTGTGTCTGCCCTGCAATGGAGTGATGTCCTATCCAGGCCGTATCCCGCCTTGCACCCGTTCCTTGCTAGCATTCTCCCCCGTGACCATGAAATGGATGAAATGATCAAAAAATATAAAAATTCTAAAATGATGCAATAGAAATCCTCCTTAATTTAACCATATTTTCCAATCCTCCCTCTGATGACTGAATAGGGAGCCCAACTTGTGCATTCTAAAAACCTGCAGATCATTTAGCTTGATTGACATTGACAGCAAATGGGTCCTGATAGCTTTGACTACCTCTGCTGTCAGAGGGTCACAGTCCAATTGAAATGGATTCGAGAGCCAGGATTCTGGCTGCTGCTTCACCTTCAGGGCTGGAGTCACAGTGTGGATCATCTCCGCTCTTCTAGCACTTGAGAAATTTGCATACTAATGCACCTCACACCTCACACTGCCGCACACTTTTAATTAGCAATTAAAATATGTAAATCATAATGCAGAATGAATATGTAAATCTCAAAAAGTGGATTAATTGAGGAAAATGTGTTTGGTTGAACAGAGAGCCCAGCTGTATTCTCTCATTCTTATTGAAGAACAACTAACCACTCAATTTATCCTATAATTGCAGACCAAACACATGAGGAGGTATTAACAAAAAATGTCTCCCTGACAAGGTGGATCAAAATGATGAAATGCCTTCAGAAAACCCTTTAAATATGTATGCATGCCCAGTTCAGGCTTCACACCGTCTTAGTTCTTATGGTGTTAACTTCAGACTTTTGCAGTGTTGTCACATCTGTCAATTTGAATCCCTCACCATCCACATAGCTAGTTTAGAGCTGCGTTTTACAGTATATCACAGCTTTGTCTATCATGATCAGTGCTGACATGTGCAGAAGTATCTTTATTATTAAAATAAATCTGTATCTTAAGACACAAATCAGTTTATTGTTTGTATTTTATTTATACCTACTTTTCTTTTCCTTTGAACTTGTGATCATAGCATCTTAATAAAAGCTGTATAAAACTGTCATTGTATTTTATATTCCAGTGTATAATCCTTCATAAACCCTTATTTTACTGACATAGCATGCCTTTCAGTTTTCATATTGTAGAGATGCCACAACAACATGTTATAAATACTTAAAGCATGTCATGTCCATTCACACTGTGTTTATGAAGGATTAAGGGTAGGGCTATAAAGCAGTCTTAAACTTTAATTAAGCTCTTTATACTTTGAATGTATTAAATGTCATTTCAGCATAGGTATATTCTTAAACATTCCTCCCACACTGCTTAGGTTTTTTGTTAAGGTTGTCGGTATTCAAGGTGATTTTCTAAAAGGGTTTTAAGAACTGCATATAGTCGGAATCCAGAGCAAATAAAAGTTCTTCTTTGTTGGTCTTATTCACTCTTTCCTAATGCTCCACCTGCTCAATGATGCTGTCTCTGTCTTTACAGCCTGTGGACTACGAGATGAACCGCGCCTTCATGCTGACAGTGACTGTGTCCAATCAGGCCCCCTTGGCCAATGGCATCCAGTCCTCCTTCCAGTCCACAGCAGGGGTGACCATCTCCGTGATGGATGCCAACGAGGCACCTTTCTTCCCTTCCAACCCCAAACAGATCCGCTTTGAGGAGGGCGTCCCTGCTGGCACCACCCTAACCACTTTTGCCGCTAATGACCCTGACCGCTTCATGCAGCAGACTATCAGGTACAACAACAAAGTTTCTGTAACATGTCCTTCTTTGCCAATCCATAGCCCCTTCAGGACGTACTTGTAAAATCAGTGAATTGGCCTAATGAACATTTTAGCCACATCATTTTTTAATGCCTTGCCCTTTAATTTGGATAGGGCAAACCTCCTGGTAACTCCAGCTTTGCAGATCTTGAGCGGCAGTCCTTGCTATCATCAGGACGTTTTTCCAAACAATGAGACAATATATTCATGCAGGGTGCAAGCATGTTTATGTCCGTTTCGTCATGGCTTTATAAGAGTCAGAAATTCCAAAAATGTATTTTATATCAAAATTGAAAACCCTGAATCAATTTGTTTGCAACTCCTTTTTCATAAGCAGCTAGATGATTTTCCAGATGCCAAAATAGGTTGCAAATGAACAGGATATTGTGCTAAAAAATAAAGTGCTTTAGATAAAAATGTACTTTTCGCAAGTTGAGAGTTTTTAATTTTTTGTCAATATGTTCTCAGGGCCAGAGGAAACTTATACACAGTACAACACAGCTTCAGGCTAGTTTACACAGAATATCAAAGGAATGGTTTCCATTGGCTTGCAGGCAGTGTTTACAGAGGGCCAGGTTTGGGGGCTCACCTTTTCTCCTCCTTTAGTCTCATCGCAATGCAGGAGTACCATGTAATGAGCTTAACATTTACAGAGTGCTTTTAAGGTTTCTCTTGATCGTTTTCACCGCTGTGCCTCACTGTCATACCCCAGAGTCAGATGGCTGAGTGCCATCTCCCTCATTGATTTGAGTTTGCCTCACTCTGTTCTGTGCTCACTGACTCAGAAGGCTTTTAGTATTTCAAGTCTTTTTACACAAACCCCTGCAAATATAGACACCATTTCAAAGGTCAAGAGGTCATTGTTTTTTTCAAAGCGTCCACCCGTCTGAACATTATCATTATAATAGCGCCTCAGAAGAAAATGTCACACTGTAGGTCAGACATGGGTGTCCTTGAGGGCTGAAGTCATGCACGTCTTACAGATAGTCTTCAGTTAACATTTATATTAATTTTTACCCCAATAATGAATTCAATAAAGTAACTAAGATGTAATTCACAAGCTGAATGCCAACCACAGAAATTTGTAACCCCTGAGAACTGGAGTTGCCCATTCCTTCTCCAGGTGTTAGAGAGTACTATCTCTAGATATGTTATACTTTAATGAACTATTTTGCCTTCATCACATTACTGTACATCACAACTTCCTATCCATTACAAATTAATTTTACATTAATAGGTTTGTCTCACTATTATTTAGTGTAAACAATGCAATTTAAGTTTTCTCTTTTCCATTCCCTTTTGACACGGGTACTCAAATGTTAGACCTTCCAAGGAACTGCAGTGCAGGAGCATGACAAAACCACATCTTTACTGACTGTTTTGATGATTAATTATATTACATAATAAAAGACCTAGTTGCAATAAAGACTTATACTGGATAAGATTGGAATATCTTGACTCTAATTAATGGTATGGCTGCTTGTGTTTTGCAAACACTTGTACTTTTCCCTTGTAAAGTCAGCTAAATTCATTTAACAGTAAATTTCACAGCAAATGAAATTAAATTGAGTGCAGGCTTGAACATTTACATTTTAATGTACTGGATTTCAGCATTCCAGCTGTAAGCTTTTCTTAGTGTTAGTTCCACCAGCTGTAGATGAGAATGATGCCACCTACCCCACACATTTGAAGAAATAAAAAGAAAGAAGCAAATAACTGATGCAAAAGAAAAATAGAAATTCCATGATTGCATAAGTAAAATAAGTATAACCTAAATTAACTTTGCACAAAATTACTTTAACAAGTCACACCATTAGTTGAGTGGCCTCTGTCTGTGTACAATAATAGTGGTTCTAGTGATATCAGAATAAAAACATCAGTCTCTGTGAGGTTCCTTGGTGTTAGGGGATTTCAAGCAAAGAGTCAACTATTAATACTAAGGGCTTTTAAAGCAAGTCAGGGATAAAGTCATTGGAATGTACAGATCAGGAGAAGGGTGGAGAAATTATTGATGTCTCTAATTAACCCTGTGAGCACAATCTACTCAATCATCAAGAATTGGAAGGTGCATTATATACCACCCAGGTACTGCCTAAATCAGGCTCTCCCTCTAAACCGTGAACGCAGGCAAGGAGGAAACTGGTGAAGGATGCCAATGTGAGGACAAAGAGAACTTTGAAAGAGCTATAGAATTCAATAGCTGAAATTAGGTAAAATGTGCATTGGTCAACAATTTTGGAAGCGTTTCACAAAACTAGCCTGTATAGAGTGTAGCAAGAAAGAGGCCATTAGAAAGAAAATCTCACAGTCCACATATACTGCAGCATGGTGGCACAGAGGTTAGCATTGCTGTCTCACAGCAGTGGGACTGTAGTGTCAGTGTGCGTGTCTGTACCAATGTGTGCCCTGCAACTGACTGGTGTCCCATCCAATATATATCTTGCCTTATGCCCATTGCTTGTTTGGGTAAAATAGGTATTGGATAAAGCAGTTAGGAAATGGATGGATGGAAAGACTTTTAGTATGGACATAGATTTGAGATTCATCAGTGTAGAAATGATAATTTAGACCATGTGATTTTAATAAATGACCAAGTGGGAACATGTAGATGCAGAATAACAGGGGGCCTAATATCAAACCCTGGGGAACACCAGACCTAACTAACAAAGTGTTCGTTATGACTGTAAGATAAGAGTTGAACTATTAAAGAGCAATTCCAAAACACCAAAATACACCGTCAAAATGGGAGAGTAAAGTGTCATGATTAAAAGCATAATAATTTGATAAAAGGCTAGTTTAGGAGATTCAGGAGAATTTGGGTAGATAGAGAACCAGAATCAGCTATTATTAGGAGATTGTTAGTAACTTTAACAAGGACAGTTTATATGCTACGTACTGTACAGTAATTGTCTAAAACCAGATTGGAAGGGTTCTAAGAGGCAATGAGGAGATTGTTCAACTAAATCGCAGTAGCACTTTCTAAAATATTTGCAAAAAAAGGGGCAAGTTAGATATAAGATGACAATTGTTTAAAGTTGTCCAAAGCCATGTTTGGTTCCTTTAGTTTTGCTGCCAATTACTGTAACACCTTACCCTTAGAAGCCTTCAGTTTGAGTATTTAGGTTTTGACCAAAGTATTAAGTTTAAAAATGTGTAATGCATCAATTTGTAATTTCACAAACCAGGACACCACAGGAAAGGTCTGAATACTTTCACAAGGTGCTACTGTATATTTCTAAACACGAATCTCATTGAAACCTGGTACTATACTGACTTTCAATATAATGTTAATATGTAAAGATTAATCACTTATCTCATACACTGCAGGCTGTTTTTTCTTCTGATATTTTTAGATTCCAGGTATTTGTGCTGACATTGTACTGCCTTTAGATTTCAAGTGGCTCATCAGTGGGAGTTGAAAACACAATTGGATGATACACAGGAGGTGTTTATTTCTGGGTTAGTTTTAGCAGCTCAACGTTAAGAGTCTTCCAATTATCTGTGACAAAGCTGTAGTTATTTAAATCTAACTATTGACTGTTACTACAAAATATCCTTGCAAAGAGTTATTTGTATTCATTTGGTGTTTTGGCCAGTAGCTTTCCCTGTTCTTTGTTGTGAAACGAGAGATTAAAACGTGTGTTGGTGAAATAAGTCTACTTCTCTATAAAAGGGAAAATGAACACTATTTAAAAAAACTTTTGATATTATATACAGTGACTAGATTTAAATCTATTTCCTTATTAGCAATACTATCCTACACTGGTTGTTTATTTAATAACATTTCAGACCTCATATTTTAATTTTCAAGAAATAACAGAATGCCCCAGGCCTGGACAGGATGTTTTCTGTATTGGTGCATAAATGTGCTGTCTACACAAGTACAGAAGGGCTTTCGAAAAAAAAAGGGTTGTCTGAAGTTTGTCTTTTAAACTTGTTTTTCACACTGCAGTTTAGTGTCTTCTGAAACATACTGTACAGACCTACAAAACAGACAATTATTTTGAATTAGTCCAATTATTTCTTTAAACAATTAAGATCAGAGGTACTGTAGTAAGAAGATCCCTGATATACAGAACACCCGTAAATATTGTAGCAGAATCCCCACTTTATACTAGCTCTTGGAGACCTTTGCACATGAAACTCTCAGTGTATAGAGCTACATAGAACCATTCTATTAAAGCTCTTAGCTCAACACAGAGATACACTCAGAAATACACTAAGAAAGCTAGGCATGATCCAGTACAAACACAGAACTACAAAATACACAGACATTATACACAATGTGGCTAACAGCACCTCTACGGTCTACTGGACCCATCTGACAGATGGTCAACTGGCTGATTCCATCCCAATTAATACCCAGGTGAACATTTAGACATTCCATTCAATTAATTTCCCAATTTACAAGAAATGTTTCTCCCTCCAGAGTCTTTGGCAGCCCCTAGTGGCTGCCCCTTAGGTGGTATCACTCTTAATCTCATTCCCACAGAGGCAACCTGTCATTATAAATACGATATGCATTAATATATTTAACTACAATTTGGAGTTTTCTTCTCTTTCTGCTATCAATTTTACTTTCGCGTTTCTAATACAATTCGTATTTTTAATCTAAAACCGAGTGCTTCATTTCTGAAAGACTTTGCTTTGTGGTTGTTGTGAAACCTATTGAGATTGTTTTGATCAATTGCTTCCATTATCACATCCAATTTTTTGTTAAGTGTTCAGGTTTAGCGCCCAGTCTCTGTGCCGAGTCAGTGTGGATTTTTCTGATGTCCTTTACATTTTTAGCCCGAAAGCTCACACAGTGTTCAATGTAGCCTACATCAATCACTGGCCCCAGCAGAGGTATGTGTATAGAGAGTCAGTTCAAAAGACAGAAGAGGGGAAAAAAATCAACTCTGTGAAATATGACAACCAGCAGACCCAGGAGCAGTATAAAAAATGCATGGAAACACTGGATGTGTGGCTTCTCTGTGTATTTCTTATTTATCTATTCCCTTTGTAGCAATCACATGGAATGTCTTGTCAGTCTTGTTTGACAGGTGATGTTGTGTCCTTCCCATAGTATAATAAACTAAAGGTCAGTGAAACACAAAGGCTCACTGACTCTGCACTTTAAACACAAGACATCTCAAAAATCTCAAAAATCTTGTTCTCAGGTTCACACAGAGATGACCTAGCATTGTATTTCTTCTGCTCCTACACACACTTTTCTCTTCATTGGACAACAGCAGACCTATCATGTGCCAGTTTTATACAATGTGTATGAGCTGTGTGAATTCAAGACTGTACGTTTTTTTTCAAATTACCTGAGGTGAAGCTACTGTACACATTTCTCAGTGCTTTGCCAGAGCAACTCTTCAAAATCATCCCTCCTGCAAATTGCAAGAGACCATAATCATTGCACTTCAGAGGTATACGTGTTAAACACAATTATTATTCCATGTATGGCTACCATAGATTACTGTGAGGCCGCATGTGCTTGTGTAACAGTGGAATGCAGAGAAACAGGAGTGCGGAAATATCTGTAGCTGTATTGTTCAATTTTCTTTGAAGAGGATAAGACCTATTACTTTCAATGACAAAAAAAATAATTCAACAAAAAAGGTACTTGCTCCCATTCTGCTGAAAAAGCGTTTTCATTAGGATCTGTTTATGAATTTTCTCACTGATTTGATCTATTGACAATATGTCAGTCCTGTTACCTATGTCATTAGCTTCTTGGGGTCCAAAAGTGCAAAAGTCACTTTGAACTCCCATTTGAATTTTCCATTGTGTTTCAGTTTCTTTAGCTGTTAGTCTAATGCTACTGTAGCCCATCTGTCATCTTGCAGGGGGGCTTGTCACGCGTTAATGAGGCAACATATTCACAGTTTGATATCATGGATGAAGAACATTTTATGGTCCTAGCTGACAAAATTATTAGCGTGTGTGAAGGGTGGGGGGTCATTTCATTCCTCTTTGTTTCTCCCAGCTGTAAAACTAATACCAAATGATGGAGGGTTTCTACATTCTGATAATTATTTCAATCCTTTTAAAGGAACTGGTGTCCATTCAGCCAAGCCTGAAAATATATGATAATCATTTTAAATAGAACTGTAAAATGAATTTCCCAACTCTATATAAGGGAGTACATTTATAGTATATTCCATTTTCAAAGTGAAAGAAAATAAGCATAGCAAACAATGATTGAGGATATTAAGAAGTACAACATAATTGTGAAATTTCAAACTTGTTTTGTTTTGTTGCATGAGAGAAGGCGAGAAAAACTTTTGATACCAAACCTTTTACCGAGTTCTATGAATAATAATTATATATACAATACTGCATATGTTTTGTAAATAAAGCGGGTTTAACTGCATTTAGCAGATAAATGACTGAAAAATGATTTTTTTATTTTGGGAAACAAATAATTAAAATATTGCCCAAAACTTCTCCAGCTATTGATAGATAAATAGATCATAGAATTTTAAGCAGCCCAGCAGACATATATAGAGGCTGTGAGGATTAAGAGTGTTGCAGGTTCTTCCGGTTGATTGTCTTGATTTTATAAAGCTTATCTCTAGCAAGAGGAATGATTAAGTATGCCTTCTGAAAAGCACTGAGTGTTAAACCTGGCAATTAACTCTTAGTACTTTATTCACTATCTGCTTCTGTTTAATTAGGGTGAGAGCCTTAGGTCACTATTTCCTTCTGCATCTAGCATACACTCCTGAATATCTTAAAGCATTTTCTAGACTGTTTATTCCTCACCAGAATCCTCTTCCTTTTTGCCACTGAAAGTATATGACTGTGACACATGACAAATTCACACATATGACTTTGTGAATATATTATTCTAATAGATTAAAACGTGAGTGATTGTATTCACTAAAGTTAAAATAGAAAAGGTTAAAATTGGTGGATTAATGACAGGTTCTGCAAGTGAGATGCAGTTCCCTCTTGGGTAATGTGCAGCATCCATTATGCTCCATCAACACTACTACAAAGCAGACCTAGTAGAGTAATGAGAAATCACTTCAGCATTTCAATTTTAATATTAGGGAGGCAGGATTGATCAAGCATAGAGTGCAGTTCAGCCAGGATACTAGAATTAATACCCATATTCTTACAGAAAGTGACATGGCAGCTTCAATGACTGTGTAGGTCAGGACCTTAGTTATGCTTCAAAATCAAAGACAGGGTCCAACAGCAGGTACAGTAAGTGAAGAAACAGTGAAACACAGTCCAAGACCGAAGCAAACAGGCAAGGGTCAAAGCTGTGAAACTAAAACTCAAGGTACCAAAGGAAAATCCAGAAATCCAAACATTGAGCAGGAAGCCAAGTCCAAAAGCCAGACCAAGCACTTGTAACAAGCCGGAGAGCAATCCAAAAGTCCAAAGCCAGGGTCAGTCGACACAAAGAAGCTTACAGAAAAACTGCCAAGACTAGTCGAAAAACACACTAAGACTCAGTCCCATATTAGCACCAGGGCAAGTCTTTAATATCATGTATTAAATATATTCAGGTGGAATTGATTTCTGTCCATACCTGGATGTTATGGCAACGGTCTGATTGACAGGTCTGTCAGCTGTGGTCTTTTCACTACGGCACAGACAGACAAGTTCTTCATCTTTTCTGCTACATGACACCTCCTAGTGTCACAGACCACATTGGTCTGGAAATTCTGGTGCAGTGGGAAACTCACCATCTACTGGTCTTTATTTAAAAACTAACGGGTTTGGAACAAATTAAGTGAAAAGATTAAAAACTGAACTTCAGACGGTCCATTAATCATTCAGTTTGTTTTTTTTTAATATGAAAAAATGCATAATTACACACTTTATTTAATGCTTTTAAAATTGGCATCCACTAGAGAAACATTATGTGTTAATTCACTTAATATACTGTAAGTTTTATTAGATCTTCATTAAGTGCTGTTTGGGTTGCATAATTAAAGTGCAATCTTTAATGCTACAGTCCTTTAATATGGGGATTAGAATATTTGCATTATCTTCTTGAGGTGTTAATCCTATTTTTAAGTTACTATGTTGCTCCATAGCACACCAAAACACCATCACTTGAAAGGGATCTTAAAAGATTATAATATCCATATGACTCCATGTTCACCAGGACATTTCGAGACAGAATTTTAAAGCTAACCTTAAACTGAAAAAAATGAATGTGAATTAATCATTGTGCCTTTGCTGAAATTAATATTGATTGTTAATGACCATGCTCAGTAAACTCATTATACTCATCATCTGATCAGTATTCCTGCCATTCCTCAGGATGAGTGAATACTGAACAGTGCAGATTTGTTTAGGCAAGACTTTGCAACAATTTTTTTTATGGACTAAGCCAGCAACGTCATTGTATTAGTAATTGCAAAAAAAAAAAACCCCACCAAAATTTAAAAAAGAGACAAATACAAAATATGCTTAATTATTATTTTTTTAATTTCTCTGCAGGGTAACTGCGGAACAATATTCAATTTAGCAGGGCTGAATTTAAATAGAATTTAAAAGTATAATTCTTAATTTAAACATTAATACAGTTTTGTTCAGACAGGTCACTGTACCCATCATATTAGGAGCATTGTATAAAATTGTATTGTATTTTTAAAATTGAAAAGATTGAGGCTTTATCACAATAAATGTTCTGATATGTATTTTCAAGATAAGAGAAACAAACTTTAGGGATCTATTAATATATATATAAGACCATTTGCTTGCTAGCATTTTTTTCTATGAATACTTAAATATATGGATGTATTAGTTTTACATTTTTCCTATACACAAATGGACCTACTATAGCAGGCTGTGCCTCACTGCATGTTGGTCTGTGAATGTATTACTCTGTAAATACGTGCACTAAAATATGTTGCAGACAAACTTAATTGCATATACTGTATTTGACTCTTTGAAAGACTAATTTTTCATAAAAACAGAAAGTGATGAAAAGGAAAGAAAAGAGCAAATAATTCTTGAAATATTTAAATATCCGTTCTTACTTGCACTCTCTTTGTGCTGGGAATGGCCCCTCTTGTTAAACAGATGAAGTAATTGCTTCCAATGAGTTGTACAGAAGAGTGGAAAATGAGGTGAAATTGACTGTGCTGAGGGCTGCGGAGCTCAAGTCAATGTAGCTTTGAAAGTGTGAAGGTCACTTGTTTGATGGTTGTTTGACAACAGATTAATCAGTGGTACACTGTGTTTTATCCACCTGGGAGTTGGTCGATATCAAAGTCTACCCCAAGTTAAGACTAACAAGCCACAGTAAAAAAGTTCAGACTTCAAAAGATGAAAAGATGAGGTAAGTGGGTGAGCCCAAGGCAATGTTTATTTTTTTTCCCACCTAGAGTATACTTAACTTCACTCATTATTTTTTTTTATCAGAGAGACTGTTCTACAGCATCCCGTTTCAAAATATTAAAAAATACTACATTTACTGGTACATTGTATCTTTATAAGTACTGATTTATTATTGTTTCACTAAATATTTTGGAAGACACAGCTCAGCTTTATGAAAGTACTGTATATTACAGTTCGCCTTTAACAGCACTTCACATCTCATCCTCCTGGCCACATTTAAAGAACTTTATTGACAGCTTGGTTAAGCCTACTAACTGCATCTGGAATAGAATTGTTTTCGTCATCTTGCGGCTTTAAAAAATAAGAAAAAATCTATTTTTCTATAAGGTACTGTAACACTGATGCTGCCTTAAAATGTGAAAATGGGGCGTGTGGCACTTTATCTTGAAGAGAACATGCTTAGGGTGGGCGAGAAAGAGGTTCAACCAGTCTTTCATTGAAATGTCGGGAGTTGTGGAGGAAAATTGTCAGCATGTTGGAACACACTCTGAGGGAGGGAGTTCATCTATATTAATTTCTCCTGTCCCTAGGTACTCCAAGCTGTCAGATCCAGCAAATTGGCTGAACATAAATGCCACGAACGGTCAAATCATCACCACAGCAGTCCTGGATCGGGAGTCAATCTATGTTAAAAATAACATTTATGAGGCCACCTTCCTTGCCGCTGACAATGGTAAGCACCTGCCTCTGCACTGCTTTCTACTCTACTGCCACTCTAACGTGACGATGCCCATATGAGCTGAGGTCATGGCAGGCTTGTAGGTTTTTCTTAGCAATCCAAGGTGTCCAACCAAAAGAACGTAAAAATCAGAAGAGAGGAGGCATGTAAATGAGGAAGCTGAAACATGTTGTTTACATTTGTGCGTGTTGTGGCAGGAGGAGAAGGAAAAACTGGGAAAGATTAGCAGCTAGGCCAAGGTTTCGTTCATGTTTTGTGTTGGGTTTTAGGCATGGGATCACCTCAAGGCTTCATTTTCTCAAGTGTTAATGATACCATACCCAAATGAAAGGTCATCCCCGTCAAATAGATATGATTTCATACAGATTAAGACTAAGTCATGAGACAAAAGTTTGCTTTCGGTGATGGTTCTGATTCCTGAAAATGCATTTTCAAAAACACACTTGATCATCCATTTTCTAACCTGTTCATCCAATATAGGGCTGCAGTGGTTTCTAGAGCCTGTACCAGCAAGCAACAGGTGCAAAGCAGGGTACACCCTAGATCAGACACCAGTCCATCACAGGACAGATTGGCACAAACACAATCTCAAACACAACAGGGCCAATTCTCCCAGAAGTCACTTAACCCACCAGGAGGAAACAGGAGCACCCAGTGGAATCCCACATGAAAATGAGGAGACCGTACAGTACAAACTCTATTTAGATAGCATCCCAGCAATTTAACCCAGGGTCCCAGTGCTACTAATAGGCACACTATTTTTAATACATTCAACCTATTCTGAGTGACGCCTGTTGGATTCAAACATTTTAAAGGAAATAAATCCAGAAATAATACAGTGAAAAGGTCCAAGAGGGAAAGTGGAGATTAAACCAAAGAGAATTTGGAGTTCTGTCAAAGCCTGAAAAGGAAAGACATTGTCAGATTATTTTATTTTTCAGGAAGAAACTACTATAGGAAGTATATAAAAAAAACTATGTTTTTATGAAAGTGCTCTCCCATCTTCTCAAAATGTAATTTTACCATTCCACATAGGATAAATTCACTAGGCTGCCTTACAAATCCCAATTTATTTGGTTTAAACTAAACCTAAATGCTAATGTGTATGAATGAGTGAATGTTGTCCAAGGCAGGACCAGCTGAACAGATGAATAATTTTGTGCATAAAATTATTGTCTTTATTCAAATGCAAATTATGTTATGCTTACTGCTTGCGGAATGCAAAAAGCCCCAAAATTTAAAAAAATACAAAAAATCTGTTAAAATAACATGCAAAATACATGAAAGGATAGTAATTTTCCCCATATAATTCACATATCAGCTCCAAGATGAAGGATTGTAGTCCACAAAGGTTGCTTTAGAGAGGGCCATTCACCCCAACTTACTGGAAAAGCATTTCCCTTTTTTCTTTGTTTTTTGGGTAAGATCCTGGTTTCTAAATTTTGGCTGTTTGTTCCATAAAATCAAAGCATGAACTCAATGGAGTAAAAATACAAACAGCAAAGAAATACTTAGCTCTTCTGCACTGGAAACAAATAGCTTTTCAGCATAGCCTTATCAGTGTAGAGCAGTGCATTATGTATTTACCTAAAGTTTAATGAGATTCAAACCTGTTTCACATTGCCAAGGCCCAGAATATGAAACTTTGTAGGTTTTGGAAGAGATTAGAGCCTGCATTCATTACGTTTTAGCATTTGAGTTAATAAACCACGTTCTAAAACAACTTCTACTGTGGAATTACTTTTATCAAAATAATTTATTTTCCTGAAACAAAGAATGCCATGAAAACCCGAAACATTCTCAATAAATAAAAGTTGAACCTGAACTTTCTGAAGATTATGTTAAGGCTGCCTATGCTTTCTCCATGTTTAATTACTATCTTCATGAACTGAAAGTAAGCTTGGAAGAGTTTTTTCAGAGGTAAAGTTACTTTGTAATTGGTTCTGAATCAGTTACAGTGGTATTGAGTCTCACTTGGGGGTTTGAATTGATTAATTTGCCGACAATTAAAAATGTAGTTTTGATGTGCATTAAATTATGAATTAGCAGCCCGTCTGCAGACAGTATCAGTGTAGTGGGAGTGTCTGCAGAGATAATGCTAAAGGGATTATGGAAATGTAAGCTTGGGGTGATGGCATTTGGAGAGTAAACACTGTGAGAGAATACATTAAAATCTCAGCCATCATTGTCATAATCCGTTAGACACAGTATTTAGGAGCCACTGTCTTTGTACCTATAAATAGTTTGTTTTAACCTGGATTTTAAACTAGAATAAGATCATGAAAGCTTGCTGGAAGGTTTTTCTCTGCCAACATCAAACAAATCTTAAATACAAATCCTTTTGAAGCATTTTGTGTTTCTCATATAGTCTTTTTCCAGAAAACACAGCTCTAAGGTTGCAGTAGGCAGTAGTAGAGGTAAGCCTTGGACTAAAAAATCCTTCCCAGTTTTAAAGTTAAAATAAATGTTAAGTTTTAAACAAACTTCATGTAAGCGAAGCTCAAAACTAAAGCTTTTTTTAAACAAACATCTGTGTTTCAGTATGTTAACACAACAAAGGTAAAGTAAGCAGACAAAAGCCTGGCAAAGAGCAAAACAAGTTGTGAAGGAAACTTAAAAACAAAAACAAAAAAACAACCCAAGGACATTATTTTTATTAAGAAAAATAGTCCTTCTAGAGGAGTTAAGGCTCCATTAACCAAGAAAAGGGGAATAAAAAACAATTGGTCCACATTAGAAGGACTTAAGCTTTACCTCACATGAGGCCAAATCCAAAGAGAAAATAAAGAGTAAAACACCCAAAAAGTACAGGTAAGAAATGGAGTTTAGTCAGCTACCACACTTTCATGCTCTTTAATGTTAAAACTGTGACAGAAAACTGCCAACACATCAGTGATCTGCTGAATAGAGGGAGAAAAGATGGTTAAATAGGCTAAGGCACAGCTGCAGTAAGTGAAGGGGATGATAATGAGAGATCCCACTACAGCTGTGTGTAATTAAGACTCCCGACCAGCTCAGTCCTGTCAGAAGGTGCTTTTCTCTTTCACTATTGTTCCAACCTTTTATAGCAAAAATGACACACTAGGTTTGATTTTAAAAGAGTTGCACAGATGTGGACCTATAGCAAGCAATTGCCATTTTGTGGATGAAGCTCTTTGAAATGCCACCTATTAGACCCTTTCTAAATCAGGATCACCTTAGGAATGAGGGCTCCCTCACTGGAGTTAATGTAATAAATTGTAAGTGCTAAAAGGTTTTTGTGTGCAGAACTTCTCCAAATCTGTGAGACAGTCTCAGGAAGGAATATATCTACTTTTTATATCTAGGCCAGCCTGAAAATGTTGCTCCAGTGAAAACCAGATAGAAGAGTCATGGAAAAAAAAGTCTACACAACATTTTCTTAGTATCTCCTACAAAGAAACATAAGAAGCACACATTTATATCATGAGCAGAGCAGGAATCAATAAAACAAGTTGTAGGGCGCAGTGTAGAACATTAGATCTGTGCATTAGAATGCACTGCTAGGGGAACAACACAATCAATCACACGTATTAGGTTGAGAGAATTTGAACAGGTGAGTCTGACTCGAACGTGCTTCACGAAATTGATGTGAAAACGTGTTAGTTTCCAGGTGGCACGAACATTTTGATTTAGTTTCTTCCAATCTGTTCTTTGGAGTATGGAGTTCACATTCTACACCAGTTCAGTGGATTATTGACCAAAAAAAAAAAAAAAAGATCTGAGAACATTTGTCAGCCATGTAAACATTTATTCTGATGAGGACAGGGCTTTAGTAACCTTTAGTATATGACTAGGATTTTTTATAAACACAAGAAAAAAAGTATGCATACAATTTTAATAAATAAAAGGAAAATTGTGAATTAAAAAAACTTCTAGGAAAGATTACAATGAACAGGGCATATTAGAGCAGATTCTACTTTAAAAAATAAATACGTGAAAATGGTTCCCACAACATCTATTCATCTGCTAACAGTGTTGCTCCCAGCAAGCTCCTTCCAGAGTAGCATAATTTACATAATTAAGAAGTTGTCGACAGTTTTACAAATTCATAATTGCTCTCTTTTTCTCACTGGAAGCTTTGGTCGACTCCCTAGGGTTCAGAATTTGGTCATTTGTTTCAACAACTGCTGTCTCCAAGACAGCATAAAAACTCCATAGCAGACCGGTCTGTGTTAGAAGTAAACACAAGTAAAGATGCTAAGATCATCTGCATTCATTCCAACTTTCATGTTTCATTTGAAGCGTTGTCCAATTTAGTAATTCCTAGGTGAATTAAAACACACACACTTGAGTGTGAGGAACATTCCATTTGGTTCATTTGATATTAATGTTCACATAGAACTCAGTGACTATCTCAATCATTTTCTTTTATGAGGTAGTAGAACTTTCTCAGACATGTTTTAATCTATCTTTTTACTGTAGCTTTTAATGTATAATTTAGTGTTATTCTTGATTTTACTAGGTCAATGTGCTGTGCTTTTCCTTTTTTCTCTCTTTTTGCTATTGGTATATGTATTACTGTATGTGTATCATTTTGTACAGTACCTTGAGTGTCTTAAAAAGTGCTCATAAATTGTATTTTTTATTATTATGAATGCAGTAATGCATACCAAAAGTAATGTCTCATATGATTAATGTGATAACGTTATTTCTCAATAACCAGTTCAAGAATCAGAACTAAATCACATCATTCTGATTGGAAAATTGCAATTATAACTGGATGCTGTACAGTGATGTGTTTCCTGGTCCTGATAAACTAAATAATTATTTTAACCATTGTAGTTAAGGATATTGTAAATTGATATATTGTACTACTTAGGTTTTACATGAGTTTTACTGTATGACCAAGTATTCATTTATTTTTGGTATCTTAGTGATCTACAGAATTTGTCTCCATCTATTTTCTTCCTCTTTTGAAAATATTTACATTGCTCTCTTCTGTCAAATGCAAGTGGTCATTAAACACAAATACAATAAATGGTGTTATTTAACAGAAGTTCAGGAGGAGGTAAAATAATATTCTTGCATTTCTCCTCTCCCATGTATAAATATTCACTTGCTACCCACATATCATAACCATGATCATTTTTTTTTAGCTTCCCTCTCTTCACATCAACTGCACCCTTGCAGCTGCCTCCCTGGTTCATTCCTGATCAATAAGGGTGGTTGTGTTGTGCCCATTACTTGCCAAGATAGGCTCCGACTCTCCTGTGACCCTGAATTGAAGAAATGTTTTGAAAATGGATGGATGGAAATGATAAGTTTATTATTAGACATGTTTCTATAGGGAACCCTAACATAGAACACAATATGACCTATTATGTTAAAAGGGAGTGAAGGTGGGGCTGAATTCATTTCTCCTGTCTTTGTATCATGCAGGATTTCCTCCAGCCAGTGGCACAGGCACACTACAGATCTACCTGATTGACGTCAATGACAATTCGCCAGAGCTCTTGCCCAAAGAGGCCCAGATCTGCGAGAAGATCAATACCAACTCCATCAACATCACTGCTTCTGACTCTGATGTGGAGCCTAATGTTGGCCCCTTTGTGTTTGAGCTGCCAAGCTCCCCTCCCAGCGTGAGGCGTAATTGGACGATCTCCCGTCTTAATGGTGAGGGGCATTTTCTTCTTACTTTAGTAAAGTACATTTTGAAAATATTTAGCATCATTACAAAAGAAACAAAATGACTGTTGTTTGCTTCAGTGATGAGGACACTATACTGTAAAAGAAGTCTCCATCCTTTGGGTGAGGCATAAAACCGAGGTCTTAACTCTGTACTCATTGATAGCTGATGTGTTTTGAACTTACTAGTGCACAGCCATCACATTATCCAGGTGGGTGCAATACATTGGTGGGGGAGGAGAGTCCCCATAACCTGTAAAGTACTTTGAGCAAAGTCTAAGAAATTGTAATAATAATAATAATAATAATAATAATATTAATTAGGCATGTACTCATGTGCCCATGTCTCTGATTTCCCAGGTGATTATGTCCAGCTGAGTCTGCACATCCAGTACCTGGAGTCTGGGGTATACGATGTGCCGATCATTGTTTCAGACTCAGGGAACCCTACCATGTCCAACAAGTCAATCATCAAGGTGAAGGTGTGCCCCTGTGATGAGAATGGTGATTGCACCACCATTGGAGCTGTGGCTGCAGCAGGGCTGGGCACTGGTGCCATCATTGCGATCCTCATCTGTATCATCATACTGCTCAGTGAGTGTCTGGCATTGCATATGCAGGCACATAACAGAAGAGCAATACTTGCCATATCACAGCGGTTTTCTGGGGTATCTTTCGTTAATCAATGAATAAAAACACAAAATCACATAAAAGCAGGATGATGAATGTATCGCTATATTGTAGTGATCTACTTTGAGTTCATGCAGAGATACTAAACATACAGTAATCATGGTATTTCAGGTTTCATTAACTGACATGCAGCTCAGAACCTATTTGACACAAATACATAGACCAGTGAGACCTACAAATAGTCAAAAGACAAGGTAGTTTCTTCATCCGCATGCCACTCAAAACAAACTGACCACGTGAAAATGAAACTGAAACACACAAACACTACTTTCCATTTCCTCTAAGCTGAAAACAAAAGTGCTTAATAGCTGTGTTTATCTCCAGACTTATAGATACATGAGGCTTGTCAACAGGTAAAATGGGACATGAACATTCATGAGAGTCGTAGCTTAAATATTCAGCATGTGGGTTTGACACAATGTATTGTGCATCATGTGCTTATTATTGCCATCACACAAGAGTTTTGCAACACCTGACCCAAATCAAGGTTGTGGTCTCTGGGTTCTGGCTGATACAAAATGTTTAGACAAGCTCCTTTGCAACATAAATATTTTCCTAGTCCTGCAACACCATACTAAAACAGCATTTGAAATTAATTATTTAAAGGTAAATACATTATCCCAATTTAGGCATTCACCTCTTATCTGTAGTCTCTCTTTCCATTCATTAACTTGTTCTCAGCCAAAAGATATAAATGTATACTACTGCCTACAATTTAAGATTTTTATGAGGAACATTACCAAAAGCCTTCTGAAAATCTAAATATATCTGCTGATATCCGTTACTGTTGTTGCTTGTTCAAATTTAGTTAGGCCTGCCTTTTTTAAATCCTTGTAGATTAACCACTAGAATCCTACTGCTGTTCAGATGATCTTGTATGTAACGGAATTCTGACTTATTGGTCTATAAGTGTCCTGTGCCTGTTCCTTGCTGAGATAGGCTCTTCCTTCCCAATGGCCATGAATTGGAAGGGACGGTTAGAAAATGGGTGAATACTCAGTAATTGGTTCGTTTAGGTCACTCCTGATGGGTAATACACACATACAGTAGATGCACCTACTGGATAGGTTCCATAACTTTCCACTCAACCTACCAGCTGGGGTTAAGGACCTTTCTCAGGGGTCCAACGGAGTAGGATTCCTCTGCAGGATCTGAACCGGCTACCTTCCAGCCACAGGTGCAGATCCTTAGCCACAGAGTCTTTTTTTTTAAGAAGAATGAGGTAGAATCGTACTTATGGAATTGGGTCAGGCTTGGGTCATGTTTGAAATTGAGGCCCTGTTACACACAGAATTGGGTATTTTTTACTGCAGGGTTATTTTGCCCTGAATACCTTACTCTATGTATGTGACTGAAGGCTTTTGAAGGTCAAGGTATTGCTTTAGGACTTATAAACTATGGTTTGTTGTGATCTAAATTGAAACTGGCTTTTAAAACAATGCATTGTGGGATGATTTTGCTCATCAAATTCAGTAACAGGAGGTTATGCTGCCAGAGTGATGAGCGGTTGTTAAAAACTGGGAATCTATGCATAACATATAAGGGGCCAAGAGATCTTAGATTAATATCATGGCCTTGAAACAAGAAATGACCAGTGCTATCATCCTCCAGCCATGGTGCTTCTGTTTGTGGTCTGGATGAAGCGACGAGAGAAGGAGAGGCAGACCAAGCAGCTGCTGATTGACCCCGAAGATGATGTACGTGACAACATCCTGAAATATGACGAGGAGGGTGGAGGAGAGGAGGACCAGGTCAGAGTATTTTCATTTTCATAACCTTCCTTTAGCTTGTTTTCCACCTGGAAAAAAGAAAAAGACTCAAAGGCACAGATCCTTTGGGGATCTGAAGAATTCGGAAGGTACAGTATTTTGGTAAATGATATCTCATATAGTTCATGGTTTGTAGACTTTGTTGGCAATAATACCATTTTCTTAACGGAGTTTAGCCCATTTAAGGTAATGAAATTAGGAATACTGGACCAGGGTGACCAGATGGGGAAAACAGGGCACAGCTGCCAGAGGGTGATGCTGAGATTTGCTAAAAGAGAAAGGATGACATTCTCACAATGAAATCAAGGAGTGGGCTGCACCTGTGGACACAGTTCCCTATAAATAGTCACGCAGAGTAGACAGGGTTTGTCTACTCAGACTCACACAAGTCTCTGAGATGGTGTGACCTTACATCTTTGGAGAGATTTGTAGTTAAGAGGGTTGGGGGAAAATAATATGGCTCTGACAAAACCTGGGTATTATACTTACCTTTAGACTGAGTAGCAGACTTAATCTTTGCTGTCCCAGGCCTGCCAGTAAAAAGAGTTGGGTATTGAGCAGACTAGCCTAAAGGGGATTGATTGAGTTGGGGTTTCTACTACTACAGGTTAGTAGAAAATGAAGAAGAGGCACTTAGGCGAATTGGTGTTTTGACAAGTAAAGGGAGGGAAGGAATGTTAACAATAGGCTTGCTCCGGATGCCAGCTAAATGCCCATATTATAAGGACAGCTTATGTGAAGCTTCCCTCTGCTGCACTACCATTTACAGGAATCTTTTTAACAGACTAAACTAGACCCTAACTAGAAGCCATCACATAAATTTGGTATAAACTTTCACAGTTAGAACTTGGAGTTTTCAAATGATGCTTTCTTGCTTATTCTTGAAATTCAGAAGCTCGCCAGATCTTGCGTAAAAAAAAAAAAAATTGTTTTGTGATAAAGGCTTTGTCAAACGTTATATTTTAGAAGCACAAAATACGGTAGTTTTAAAGGCAGGGGTCATGAATATCCTATGAGTCTGACTTTCAGTGCCATTGTTGCTCTCCTTTCCGTGTTTCAGGACTATGACCTGAGCCAGCTGCAGCAGCCGGAATCTCTAGATCACATCATCAGCAAACCCCCTGGGATCAGGCGGGTGGACGAGAGGCCTGTTGTGGCCGAATCCCAGTACCCAATCCGACCAGTTGTCCCCCATCCTGGAGACATTGGGGATTTCATCAATGAGGTACAGAAACACATACTGTTCTTGCAGCAGTCTTAATGCACTTCTAATCCCATTACCTTCTGTCATAGCTACCGTTTCTTTAAATTGCCTAATTAATGCAGTAGTCAGCAAGTATAATCTTGGTGAGGATGTATTCTAAGTGTCACAAGTGGCATAAGCTTTTGGCATCAAACATATGGCAAGAGCTTTAGAACAACTCACCCATCCTTCTTAATCCCATGATTTTAAAACTAGTGTTACAGCTAGATGTACACCTGGCGGGGACTGGCAGCTGCGCTGCCTGGGTCTGTTTTCCTGTCCTTTTTCATTTGTCATTGCGTTCCAACAATATTAAGGTAGAAGGTATTCCCACAAAATTAAATAGAATCAAGCTCTCTTGTAGGGCTGTGTATTGTGGGGGGTTTTGCATGATCACAAAAGAAGCTCCTTTTACAAATCAAATCCCTGCCTAGAGCACCAATACAATGTGTCAAAAATACTGTTTCACTATGTACCTGGACTGTTCGCAGGGCCTGCGAGCTGCAGACAATGACCCCACCGCCCCGCCCTACGACTCCCTGCTGGTGTTCGACTACGAGGGCAGCGGCTCCACTGCGGGTTCAGTCAGCTCCCTCAACTCATCTAGCACCGGCGACCAGGACTACGACTATCTCAACGACTGGGGTCCTCGTTTCAAGAAGCTTGCCGACATGTACGGGGGCGGGGACGAAGACTAACCGCCCTCGGCCGCAAGACGTGCCAACCACACTTCACCACTTAAGAAACAAAACAGAAAAAACAACAACAACCCAAGTGAGGACGATACAAAGGCAGCTTTTTAATGAATTCCCCCTGCTGACTGTAAAAACAAAGAAAAAACAATAGCATTTTATTTTTAGTGGCAGGGTTTCTGTTTCTTTTTAAGTTGGATTTTTGGTTGTTATTATTATGATTATTTCCACTCTTTTAGAACATAAGCTGTCTAATAGCATGAAAAAGAGAAAAGGCGCCTTGTCTCTGTGCCATTATTCGGTTTCAGTGCAGCCAGCAGGGATGTTGTTTATTTTTTTGCTCAAAACCTTTGCTTTATCACTAAAGAGAGTGAAAGGCACTCTTTCTTAACTTGAATTCCTTAGAACAGAAGCACTGTTGTTAAAAAGTGCCTTTTTGGTGCGTTTAATCGGATTCCCACTATCTCAGGATTGGTTGCCATTCGAATGGATCGGGCGGCACGCTTCTCTCTTTCCCTCCCTCTCTCTCGATGACCCCCAAAACTCTCTGGTCAGTAACGTAGGAAAAACAAAAAAGTAAAATCTGTCTGTACAAATACTCATTTTGATTCTGCTTCTTGTGAAACTGGGTATTGTGTAAGACAAAGTAGGGAAAACAGAGAGCTTTGTGCAAATAATACAACTATCTTTCAATGGGAGCTAATCCGTGTTTTCATTGTGGAGAGATCCAAACTCAAATGCCCAGGTCTTTGGAGCATTGCTGCAGGGTTAGGGTTAGTCATATTCGCTCCTGTTGCAGAAGTCCGTAAACTTCTTCTCATGTGCAACTTACAGCTATTTCAGAATTAAAAAAAAACACGAGGCGTATGTCTTCAATGCCATTTGTACAATTCTGAAATACCTGATGCTCTATCTTAAGAATTTAAACTCTTGGAAGTCATTCTTCCTTTGATACCTTGGATCACCGAGTATTTGAGTTTGGGTAGCTGCTGTCCTGTACCGTTTTTGAAAACACGTTCCTGTCTGTGCTGCTTCGCACTTGTTGCAAGTCTTTAACCAGACATGGAGGATGTAGGATGAGGAGCACAGGGGAATATTAATTGATTCTACTTTCATTTGTCTCCTGATGACCTGAGATGTAAGAAAGAAACTCTCAAAGGCTTGTACAAGTGAGAAAGAAGTAACAGCTGTGGAGAATCTGGATTCAAGAGGGTGACTTTTCTTTGTTTAATGAAGTGAAAAAAATGCATGAATTTTCCAAAGGTTTCAAAGTGACAGGTGTAATTCTGTGGTCAGACTGGTAAATGTGGTTAGGGAAAATATATACTATAAAAAATGTAAAGTATTTTTTTTAAGTATTAGAAAATCGCAAGCCGTCTGTGCTGCTTTCCTTTCCTGGTGTGCATACCAGCAAAATCGTGCATCGTGGAGCCCTGCTGCTCGAAGCTTCAACATATTATTGAGCATCAGTGTGTTTTATACTGGGTTGCTTCATTGTGAGTTTTGCTAAAGTGTTCTAAATTCAGGTATTGACACTGCTGATGCGATTCCATTGCATAACAAGTCGTTACAGAAACCTGTCTCATTTAACAAATTCCAATATCAATCCTCCAAGTTTCAGTGCAAGAGCGCCCACTCATCGAAAAGCCAGTGAGTGACTGAAATGGCATTCTTATAATCATGACTGGTGATATGGGACATTGCTTTGCTGTTCATTCAGTTAAATAATAGATATGTGTATTGTATATTTCATTTTTTTTTAAAAAAAAGAGTCTGCACTTTACTTCTTGGGGAACCAGTTTGTTTTTGTATATGGTCTGATCATGTTGGCCATCAAAATGAAATCTAATGACTTAGGCAGGGGACAAAGGAATCACACCCTCTGTCGCCTGATGTCAAAAAAAGGATTGTGATGCCATAACTACTTGATATGCAAACTGCTCTTGCCTTGCTGTCCCAATTTCATTCGTTCATTCACATCTGATCTTCAGCTTTTAGTGCCCTCAAATAAATCTACTCTAAAAGCTGTTCTGGACCTGAGGAAACACAATTCCCTGTTTTTCTGTGCAACTCAAATATTTATACCTGTCAGTGGTGTTCCCTTGTTCGTGGTATCTGGCGCATTGGTTAGTTTGGTTGGATTAATAAAAATCCATTTGAATCCATTTCAATAGCAAAACTTCCCTGGAGTCAAATCCAGTGTTACTGGGAAATGATCACCTCCTTTCAATACTAGAAACCTCTGCATACACTTGGAAACGTCGTCTCTTTTATGTTTCAGTTAGCTTGCTCGGTTCCGGAGTTTTATCCTATGGTAGTTTATCTGTCAAATGATAACAAAGTCCTTGAGGTAATCATAGTAGTAATTGACTTTTTAATACATCAGTGAAAACTGGACTGAAGTCCCTAGCAAGCTGGACAGAGAGAGGACATGACACAAGACAGAGTTAGCCTTTACCTCTGTAATTTCCACTGAAAAAGCCTTATAAAGCGCAAAGAGCAAAACAGGAAAAGTATACTGATCGACATAACTCTAAGAACTCATGAACAAAGCAGAAGTGCTGCAATCACCAAAATCATGAACAGCCTGGGGAACACAGCATGAGATGTGATGATGCTGTTCTGTAACATTGATGCCTTTGGACAAATTAGGAATCACACTGAAGGTGCTGTCGTATAGCCATTATGATTAACAAGAATGGTCATAACATCTGATTTATAGTTTAAGACATACAGCAACAACTTTAAGAGATGGGAAGTGCCAGCTTTGGCAAAGTTATCAAATAGAAAAAAAATAAAGCTACTGTACTTGTTTTTTTTATGATTCAGTGTATTGGAATGCATGTACAGGGTAAATAGTTGCTGCTTTTCATATATGATTCGCAAAACAAAAACTGTATATAAGAAACATCATTTTTTAAACATTACATTAGCATTTTTAGATATTTTGTACATTCATTTAAATGTTGCACAACATTTAAAAGGAAAACTTGACATTCCTTGCATAGTTTAAATCAACAGACATTAATTCACCCAAAAATGGATTGCACTTGTAAATTAGATGCTTTCTGAGAGACAACTCCAAGACTACCTTCTATCTTTTGTTTTTTTTTCTTCTTAAGTATTGGACACACTGTTAACTTTTTTGACATAGTGAAAAGTGTACCCCCCAAGGCCTCAGAATCTATTCAGTAGCCTACTTGTTTTGCTTCTATTTTGACAGGTTTCCTAATCATTATTCAGCTGAGCTATTGTACTGTGTTCTAGTTTTTCAGATGATTCTGCTCTTCAGAACAGGATGATCATCCATAGTGATTCTCATAAATTGGAGTCTGACTTGTGCTCAACAAATAGTCCCCATTGTGGCTCTGAACCCCAGCAAAAGAAACTGAATATCATAGAGTTAAATTTCTTCATGTTTTTAAGATGGATGTTTGTCAATACAACCAGTATAGAACTCGCCTTCTTTCCCAAGATCGCAGATACAACATAGTAAGCCATACAGATTTGAAGGGATTTGACAATGCATTTAACATTTTAATTTTTTTTTTATTCTGGTTCATTGTTTTAGCCTAGACTTTTAAGCTGCTAACAGGTTGAGAATATTTTGCATGCGCCCTAGTGAAAGTGAAAATAATGTTTTGACATACAATAAGTAAATGTTCAATTGTCCTTTTAAATGGTTCTTTTTACCATATTCACACTTGTTATGTTTTATACAAAATATCAACCCAGTTTCAAATTTTCTGTCCTACATTAAAGTACCTACAGGCAGTTGTGTCTAAAGAAAATATTGACCTTGACCAGTAATTTATGTTCAGATGTTTGTTTCCATGTAATGCCCAATTATATCCTTGCCCCAAAATCTATAATATTGCATTAGGATCTGACAGCTTTAATAATTATTGGTACAGTAGTACGGAATATATTAATTTTGTGGCTTCTCCTTTTGATTCCTTTTGTACTAGGAATATAATACTTTCAACAGTTAATTGTCTATATGGCTACATTACAATGAAGGCAAATTTAAAATTAAGAAATGCTCTCTAAACTATATTTACATCCCTCTTGTTTTGGACTCTGTATGTAGGGGAAACAAGGATAGATATTTACATTTTGATGTGGACTTTGCACAGTCATCCATCAGAGTCTTAGAAGAACCTTGGCCAGGACCAGAAATTGTCAAGACTACGTGAGAACATTCATTTCCCACCATTCTTGTGTTTCTGTGACATACATTCTGCAGACCAGAAAGGCCTAGAGGCCATCATTCAGGTTCCTGCAAAATGTAACATTCAAGGTTTTGTTGAATATGAATTCAAATGATACAACTAGCAAGTGTTTCTTGAGAAATACAGGATTTTAAAAACACAAGCATTACAATTTCTGATTCAATTGAGTGTATGTAAGTATATGTTACAAGAGGGTTGCATTTGGTAGACCGCTAGTTAATTGGTATCTGATATGTAAGCCATATATTATATATTTCTATATAAAGCTGTGCAGAATTCTTAGACGTTGAATTTTATTCTCTTTTCAAACGTTTCTCTTCTTTGTGCAGAAACTCAACTGTGGCAAAGATCTGCTAATTTCTGGCATTTTGTTTCAAGCTAAAAGTTATTTTGTTGTACAAATGGTTGCCTTTTAGCTTTATTGATATACAGAACAAATTATGTTGATAACAAAGACCAGACATTGACACTTGAGAATGTCTGGAAAGTGTGATGGATAAGCTATGAGAACAGTTCACATTGGCTGCTCAAGTATAGTTCAGCACCATGCTTTGCTATGACCAAGTTTTTTGATGATTCTGATCAATATTAATTTAAAGATATCTAAATGACAACAACCAAGCCTTATTCATAAGTAGTAGAAAATGCTAGTTGAGGCTTTGGGTCAATTGTTGATGCTCATAAAACACAAACTGTATATTGTAACTCCTGATTGTGTGTGAGATGTCTAAGACTTTTGAACAGCAGTATACATACAATGTTCAAATTTTGATTTGAATTATCTTGCTAAGACAGAGTTATTTTTACAATGCAAAGTCATAACATAACCTGTTGTTGACAAACGGCCTATTTCAGAGGCTTCAGTCTGGGTGGTCCACTGCCCTATGTCCTCTGATCATTTTGAAACCTCTAACATTAAGAAGCATTCAGTCCTCATGCCCTTAGAGTAGCTTTTGTCTTTGAAAAGTAAAAGCAAAAGATTAATTACTTTCAGATTTAAATCCTGAAGGTATACACAAATCTAAGGACTGTATAGAATACTAAACCAGGAACTTCAAAAAAGAAAAGGTTAGCATTAGGGCAAACATGTTCCACAAAGAATAAAAAAATCTAATTGGCGTCAACAGGCACACAATTAACCACCTGATGTTACTCACTTTAGTGTGTACATAATGTAGTAATTGCTTGAAGCTAAACAGATCAAGTTAGGCAAAATATACATGTAAAATTGGATTTTTTTGCATGTCTTTTTATAATGGACAAAATAATTATGATATAATAATAAATATGATAAAATCATGATAAAAACTGTGTTGCAGCCCGCATGACTGTGGTTGTTTTCGAAAAAATTCTGGTGTGTACCATACTCACATTGAAAAAAAAAATCAAAAACACAATCATTGCACAGTTAACAAGTTCAATACTTTTTGTAAACTGTCAACAGCACAACTATTTTGTATTGTTGTTTGTACCATTTTGTACCAAAAAAGTATAACAAAAAAGGGAAGAGAGTTTCTTGTTTTAAGCGTGTGTTTATAGTGCCACTGCGATCTTGGTTCCAAATACATAAACAGCCTTGCTGATTTATTGTGTAAAAATAAAAGCTGAGCTGGTGATAAGACACCAGTTCCCCTGTGTAATAAATAAAGTTCCCCTCCTTTTAAATGTTTGTCTCATCTTTGTTTTCCTCCAGACTCTTCAATATCACTTCCTATCAGTAACAGCACTTTTTAGCTCAGACGTGCACAAAATCTGGTTTGGGCTAAGATTTCTATATAATATGTTAGGGTTTTGGGAGCAGTGCTTTTGATTTAATTTCTCACTGTGTTTGGCAAAAGTTGAGATGCAGCTCTAAATGAATCCCTCAGCTTTGACCTTAACACGGCCTTCCAAGAGAAAACAGAAATGGGAGTAATCTGTTGGACTTGCCTTTAATGTTCATCTGCTGTGTTGAAAGCAAATCAAAATGCTGCAGAACTGTAACAGCACAGTACTTGGGATCTTAGTTTGTGCTGTTTGTGCTAAAGGTAAACAGTGACTCTGATATCTGATTGTGGTGCATAGTGGGCATTAAAGAAAACAATATAGTGAAAATAACCCTGATGAATAGGAGAGGAATGAATGCACAGCTCCTTAAATCAAAAGAAAGCCTTGGAGCCGTATGTGTTTCAGTTTAAGTATTACTGAATGAAGGCTGTACAAAGGGAGATCGCTGTTTTTCTCCCTGTCTGCATGACAGCTGGAAAAGTGCACCAGAAAAGCACAAAGACCTCCACTCCACTGTTGTTAGGAATCATTGGTGGAAATATGCAAGGATCCTGTGCAGACGCAGGAGTGGGTAGTTGACAAATCCAATACGATAGGCGATTACGTAGTCCAAGGAGAAGGGTGTTTCAGTAGCCAGGAAGAGCGATAAAGGCGAACAATCCGAAGCAAGAGGCGAGGTCGTGGTCAAAAGGGGTAAAGCAGGAAGTAATCCGGGGAGAACGCAGGAGGCAAACAGAAGTCCAGAATCCAGAATCCAGATGCCAGAATCCAGAATCCAGAATCCAGAATCCAGAATCCAGAATCCAGAATCCAGAATCCAGAATCCAGAATCCAGAATAAACGAGGTACGGGGAAAAACGCCAGGTAGAGCTCTCAAAGAGTAGACTCAATACCGAGCAATGGGAAGCAGGTTAGGATGGTATAAATAACACGGCGTGCCGGACGATTGAACATTTGCAGGTGTGTTAACGCGTGCGGCGGCGCTTGTTAATAATAACCTTTGCGGATGCTGATTAGATCGCTTAAGAGTTGGTCTCCGCTCACTGGTGGTCGTGACGACTGTAAAGTGTTGATGTATCTTTAATGTCAACCCCACCACCACCCTCCCATTTCTACCATGTTTCAAAAAAGAAGCATCTCAGTACATGAAAAAAACAGAATGGACTCAAGACCACAAAGTCAATTAAAGCCTGTGGAAAGTCTCTAACGGACGTTCAGCTAAGAATTACTGACTGATTTTGCTTACTTCCACACCCCCCAATCCAAGGCTTCATTTGCAAAACCTTTAAATACCTTTAAAAAATATTTTGTATTTTCGTAGTAATACCCACTGCTTGATAATGTTATTGAATGGATTAAAGGTTAACCAGTTAACTAAGCAGAAGACTTTGGCAAAGACTCTTAATAAAAGATGAAGAAAAGTCTGCTTGATGTCAGTTTATAATAAAATATAGTTTTGCTTTTCCCACAAGGGGTCAGTGCTCTCTACGAAGGCCATACTGCAATTCCAAGTAGCTTGATGGGAGCACTGTTTGGATTTGATAATTTGGCTAAAAGATAATTGAAGAAATATAATATAGCATAGCTTTTGATATCTGCCTCTTATTGTACCTTATTCAAAATTATAGATTGATCTAGTTCTTTAAACCTGAAAAAAATGTTACATTGTTTTGTTCTTACATTTCAGTGTGGATTTAGCCTCATACTTTATTACTTATTTTAACAATTTCTTATGCTTTTTAATGTAAGCATGTGACTTTGTTCATTATTTTTATTAGATACATTTGAAAACTTTCCAGTTATAAATTGTTTAAGTGACCCATCCTCTATATAACAATCTTTCAATACGGTGAAGTAGACCTTAGGGCGGCACAGTGGTTTCTGGGAAAATTGGCCCTTGTGTGAGTGTGTGATTGTGTCTGTGTGTGGACTGGTGTTCCGTCCAGGGTATGTCCTGCCTTGCTTGCGCGCATTGCTTGCTGTGCTTGCTGGGATAGGCTCCGGCTTACTCCCCTCTCCCCGCCTACCACAACTGAGTTGTAAGACGTGAAAATCGATGCATGGAAGATAGACCTTAAGCTTCCATTGTAAATCCAAATGAAATATAGATATCTTTAAAAAATGCGATATAAATTATATATTTAATTAATTTATATATTTATTTAAATGATTTAAATATATTTCTATTTCATCATATTTTCAGATTATTTATATATATATATCTTTATATGTTTTTAGAGATATTTCTAAATGATAATTTGGCTTGCCATACACCTGCTTGTCTTCATTCCAATGGACCTTTTTATGTAATTGAATTCTTAAGTGAATTGAGATTTTTTTGTCTGGAACTTTTGAAATTTGTTTACTCAAAAAAAGCTAATTTTATACAACGGAGAGCTCCAACATGTTTAAGAACCACAAACAATTAAAATTGTTCAAAATAATCCTAGTATAAGTGAGACAAAGGGTTCAATTTTAAAACTGAGAGCTCAGTTGGAAACAAACAGCAGGTCTGTAAGCACCAGGGTTAGGTTCACAGTGCAGATAGGGCTGTGAGTTCTTTCTTTTTTGTTTTCAACTTTAATAAACCTAGGAACTGCTATATTCCATTATTCACTGATGAAATGCTTTGATTTTGTTAATTTTGAATCCATGGCATTTTAAAAATGACTTTCATGCATCCATGCGCTGCTTGCCTTTCCTGTGCCTTAATTAAATTGAAATTAAGAATTTCTTTTGCGCTCAAATTACAGCTTGCACCAACATTTTAATTATGAGAAATCAATGGTAAAGAATAAGTTAGCCAGTCACAGAGGCACAAAATCTATAACAGTCTAAGGAGTTGAAGAAAATCTTTTCTCTTATACCAATTCTTCCAAGTCGATTCAACCTTCTTAGAAATGCTAATATCTTACAAAAACTGAAGAAGGAAAAAAGGAGGGGTTTCAGAAGTATATCATGAGGAAAAAAATCCATCAGGAGAGCAACATTGAAACATTTTCAGTAAAACCACAGTTAATGTCCCCCTCCCCCCCAAAAAAAACTTAAGAATTATGACTTTCATCAAACTTCAGAATTTGCTGTTTAACTCTGTTCAATGATCTTAAATAGTCATGAATGTTAAAAGTATAATATTTTATCACAGTTCTTAGGGAGAAAGTACCTCAACTAAAAAAAGCCATTGCATATCAGAATATAAATATAAATCCATTTTTAAATGTTTAAAATATGTATATGATAAAGCCTACACTCCATGGTCCAATTCTACATTCAGTTCTTTGGTCTAATTCTTATAACGATGAAATGAACCGATGAATATAAAGGAATAAAGTGCCTAATACTTTGGCTTTAACACATCTGGCTGAGGAAATCATGTACGACCAGCCCTGTCACATCGCTCATCACTTATAATGTGTAAGTCAGGGAAGAAATCCTGCAATAGGGCTGTTGGGGAGGAGGGAGGGGTGCTAGAATATATAGGGAAGCAGTGAAAGATTAGAATTTGAACTCGTCCCAAACTTTTGGTCAATAACACCATTTAAATTGATAGGTTAAATTATGATAATGACGAAAGTGGTGATAAAACGCAGTGACTGAAAGAAGTCATCTCCTACCAGTCGTTAATTTCCACTCCCTGGTCTTTTATGCAAGAACAGCAAAAAGGAGGATAGGGGAGAAACAAACAAATATAGGCTGTGTTAGGGTAGGTAGAATAGAGCAGACAAAATTAGGAAGAGAGAGAGCAAAGGGAAAGGTGGGACATAACCGACGCAGTTGTTCAGAGTTTCTGGAAGGCTTGCCAACATCAGGAGACCTGTAAAAATGCAAACAGCATTGTGGGAACAAAGCAGCTTGTTTGTGGTGGAAGATTGAGGCTGAAGACCTGAAAAGACAACTCTAGTCCTGGATGAATGCAATGAAGGTAAAGTCCCTGCAGCATCGAATGGAAAACATGTCCTTTTGCAATGAAGTGATCTACCAAATACTAGAAAGATGAGCACAACATCAGAATTTGACCTTCACCTGAAATATTCAAAAACACCATGAATATAAACACAATCAAATCAGTTAGATCCCTAATATATTCTATCTTGCACGAAATTATAAAAATAATTCCAATAATTTTCCATGAAAAACTGCTAGTGTTTGATTCCTGCTTCAAATACTCCAGCAGAGACTCTGTTAATTAGCACTGCTGAAGTCTGTGAAAAGTGGAGGAAGCAAAAATACTTACTGACGAGTAATTGTGTCATATCTTAAAGCAATTAAATAATATTGTATAAAACATGTTGTTAGAGGAAGAAAAATGCCTTTTTACCTAAACAATTGGAATGAAATCAGAATCAAACTTCTTTATTAAATATAGCCAGTGTTCCTCTGGGACTAACATCTTTTTTGTAATATGCAAACAATGTAAATTTCACATTTTATCAATCCAAGAACAGAAAGACATTTTGGTGTTTAGGAGATAATCTATCTCAGTGAGCTGTGATACCCAGCTGTACCACAGCACTACAGTCCCTCCAATACATTTGTTTACTTTTCCTACAGTTGACATGGAGCAAAAAGTTATCATTGTTTATTTTCTTGTCCTTAGACACAAAACATATAATGAACTGTACAGTAACAATCACATACACACAACAAGGAAAATGAAAAATACATCAAACACAAGCTGGAAGTGAAATACAAGTGCTGCTCCAGGCAAAACAAAACTGCATACAGTGTAAAAAGTTCTGCTGAGGATATCCCTTTTTTCTCTTGCAGTTCCACAGAACGCAGAGACATGGCTTCATCAATGGAAATTGTAAAATAGAAGGGCCCTTAACTGGGCTTTATTATGTTGCTGATAATATAAACGCCAATGGATTCAATGACAAAACCTATCCAGGATGGAT